GGACGATCAGCGTTGTAAAAAAAAAATGTCATTTTGTGGCTGGGATGGTTAATAAGAAATATTGTATTAAAAATAATTTTTATCCGTCTACATATCATTTAAGAATTTTCATAAAAACATCAGATTAACATTGAAATAAATATAGTTATAGAAAGTCCCTGCACAAGTAGAAGTTTTTTAAATTTTATTTTAATTTTTAAAAAATATATTTTTAATTTGTATTATATAAAATATGTATATTAAATATGATTATATTATTTTATTATTTATTTTGTTTTATAAATAATTAAATTAAACATATTTTTTCATTACTAATGTAGTCAATTTCCTTTTTTAAAGAAGATGTTTTCCTCAATGAAAAAATATCAACAAACGACTGCTAGCAGCGCTTCCACGGAGTTGGCCGCTATGGAGATGCAGGCGAAGGAGCATGCCAAGCACATAGTCGCCAATTACCTACAAAGACCTGATCAACTTGAAAAAACTGAGCAGTTACGGAAATCTGTGGCTAGACAGAAAGGTTCGGTAGAGGCCATGTTGAAAACGGCCATTCAGTCCCAGTTGGATGGGGTGAAAACCGGATTGAACCAGCTGAACACCGTCTTGAAGGATATAAAAGAAATAAAGTCCAACATGACTGAAATCAGGTCCACTTATTTGACGATTGCAGATTTGCAATCAAAACTGAAGAACATCAGAGAAGAAAATTCAAAGCACAGTCAGTTGGCAGCAGCTTGTGATAATGTCCTGCATATATTCACTGTTCCTGAAACCATTAAAAAATGTGAAGACTTGATTAATGATGGCAAACTGCTCCATGCGCACAAATCTATCAGTGATTTGGAGAAATCAAAAGATGACATCCTCTATGAACTGAACAAACAACCAAACAAGACACCCATGGATCAACTTATTGTGTTGGAATATTTTTCTGGGCTGGATGATTTGGTACAATCACTAGAAAAACAACTTTGGTTGATTTTGCAGAGGACAATCATTTCACTGAGAGTTGAACCAACAATCATCGTAACTGTTTTGAGAATTATTGAAAGGGAAGAGAAGCTGGATGCAGTCATGTCTAATAAATATGAGGAGATGAAGTTACCTGGCAGGCCAAAGAAGTGGAAAGAAAAAGCAATGGACACCATAAACAAGGCAGTTCTGTTGAGGATTGAAGGCAATCAGATGGAAGACAGAACAACCAATAAGATGTGGCTAGTCAGACATCTGGAGGTGACCAGACAGATTGTTCTTGAAGATTTAAGAGTGGTCAAAACGTTGTGTGGTCAGTGCTTTCCACCCCATTACAACATGGTGGAAAAGTACATAGAGATGTATCACATGGCTATCTCAACTCATCTGAATGAAATTATAGAGCAAGGACTTGAAGGAAATGAAATAGTCTCTCTGCTCAACTGGATCAATGACTACTCCACAACTGAATTGATGGGGCATCCAGATTTAAACATCGATGTGAATAAGTATCCGCCGCTAATTGAGAAATCAAAGATCAATGATCTGTACTCACAGTACATAATGACTTTGAAGAGAAACATGAAAGAATGGATGGTGAACTCCATAAAAACTGATTCAAAAGATTGGTCCAAAGATCAGCTACCTGACACAGACGACAAAGGTTTTTTCAACACAACACTCCCTGTTCTACTGATCCAAATGATTGAACAGAACCTCGAAGTTGCAAAAACAATTGGCAATGAACTCGTTGTTAACGTCGTCATCATGTGCATAGAAGAGATGAAAGAATTCGCCCAACTCTACAAAAGTGAACTTAAAATTTATCGAGACATTCATCTTGCTGATCGTAGCAGTCCAAAGTATTATCTACACTTCATCATTGCAAACACAAACAACTGTCAGTCATTTGCCGATTTCATAATTCATCTGCACAAAGACTACTTAACACATGCTGATGTCGGTAAGATTAAATCTTTGCTTGACATGTTCAACAACCTAGCTGACCTGCTGTGTGTTTGGTTGATCGAGGAGGTGTTTTCAGATCTCGAACCTCACATTCAAGAGTTGCTGACCAAGAAATGGACCACTAGTAGTTCATCTGTGGACACCATTTGCATCACCATTGAAGATTACTGTCAGGATTTCGTCCACATCAAGGACGTATTTTATAATGAGATGATAAACAGAGCTAGACTGAGATTAGCAAAGGAATATTACAAAGCCATCCTAGCCAGGAAGATAATGTTTAAAAATTATGAAGAGCGGGGTCCTGCTTGTGAGAAAATCATCAGAGAGGCCGATCAGATGGACCTGTTGTTTCAGAAGCTGATCAAAAATGATAAACACCAGCAGGAATCACCGTTTGCAGGAATTCCATTATTCATCGAATTGTTGAAGATGAGGGATACTTCTATGCTTTCTCTGGAGTTGTCGGGATTTGTCAATAAATATCCTGATATCAAAATTGATATGGTAGTCAATATTTTGCTGATGAGGGGAGATATGAGTCGATCTGACGCTCGTCAAATTGTCGTCGATTGTCTTGGTGAAGATCACGATTCGAAAATCAGTAGAGTCAGAAAGACCATATTCTCATTCTTGACTTAAAAATAACAATGTTTCTAATTTGCAATTGAAACTTATAATGCATTGCTTGCACATCTGTTACTAATTATTCCCTACAGTTTAAATGCCATCAATTTTTTCAACAGAAAGCATCATGCTTGAAATATTTTTTTACTAATTTTATGATTGACACTTTATAATGTACCCTTATTTGTTACGCCTCCATGTCCAAATACCTTTGTTTTAATTAGTTAATATCTTTTTTGAATGCAATTGTAATATATGTATCATTTTTGCCAAGCGACGAGCGGCTTTTTGGCATTTTTAAAATGATTTAGATAGAATTTTGTTGCAACTTTGGCGTACTTTAGTGGATGAAACTGTGGTTAATGCCCATTTGAAATAATCAGTTCTCTTTCAAGCGCTGTCAAGTTTGCCGTTTGACTTTTAAATTAACTTTTAAATAATTTGAAATAAAAAGTGGACTTAAAACTTTTGTTTTCAAAGCAACGTATCGGCGAGCGTGTTTTTTGTTTTTGAGTTGATTTTTATCAACGATGACGGAAAATTTAGTTCCAGAAGCTCATTCAGCCTCTCCTGCAAATGTTGACGTGATGGACTGCGAAAAAGAAGGCCAGTTTCAAGAGTCTATTCTTGGAACCAGGGAATTGTTAGTAGTAGATCTCACTTTTTTTCATTAATATTTGAAAATGATAGATAATTAAATAATATTAATAATTAATAATGAATCATTAAATTTTAATTGTATTATATATATATATATATATATAAGTACAATTTTTTAAGTTCTGTATTAAATAAAACTAAAAGCTATGCTTATACATTTTATTAGTGTTTGTTTGGTGTCATATAAAAAATAAATTAATCATTAACATGTGCTTGTTAAAAATAAAACGGATGTCATCAATTAAAATGAGCTTTTTAAGAATGTTGTAAGACATTTGTCATGTTATTTACTCTATGTTTTAATCTGATCTGTGCCAAAAAAAAAAGATTATCTGGAATTTCAAAGTTGTTTTATTGTCTAATATAATTATTTTTTATTTTCATCTAATTTGTCTTCAATTAACTTTTTATATATAATATTTTTATTTAAAATGATTTATTTTATTTAAAATTTAAAAAAAAATATATTCAGCTGGGAAGATTCTTTCAGGAGAGATCTACTTGTGTATCAGCAGCGTTATGAGATTGATGATGTTTGGTAGGTTTTATTTTAAGGTTGATGTGTGTTTGTATGTATGTGTGCGTGTGTGTGTGTGCGTGTGTGTGTGTGTGTGTGTGTGTGTGTGTGTTTTCTTCACTTTTCTGAAAATTTAGGTTTGGTCAAGAGAGTGTAGATAGGATTGTAAATTGGTTGGGAGCCAGTAACACAGACAAGACATCATCCATCTTAGACATTGGCTGTGGCAATGGAGCTACGCTCATTTCTCTTGTTTGTCCTTTTAATTTTTATTTAAAATTTTATAAATATTTTGTTTTATATTTATTTTTTTTCATTTTTGATTTCATATTTAACAGAAACTCAATTGTTTAAATGCACATGTGGGAGTTTATGTGTAGTTAATTATTTTCAATTGCAGATTTTTACTACAGGTGTCTTGGATGTGCCAAAAAAATATTCAATCAAATCACATATTGTCTATATTTTAATAGTTGCATGCTTTTATTGTTTTTTCTATAATAATTATTAATGAATTAACGTAATTCAGTCAAATTAAATAAATAAATTATCTTAGTTAAGTATATTTAAATAGTTTAGTTTTGATAATTCAGGCTGAAAATGGTTACAGAAATTTGTATGGCATAGATTACGCATCAGCAGCTATTGAACTTGCAACGGCCATTGCTAAAGAAGAAAATAAATTAATCACTTTCGAGGTTGTTGGAGTTTTTTTGTTTTTATATTTTTTTCTGCCTTTCATGATTGTAGTAGTTTTGGTAGTGATGATTGTTATGTAGTTTTGATGATGATGACGATGGTGATAGTGAGTGATAGTAATAATTATCACGGTTTTTCGATATATTTTCAATTTTTAAATGATAAATTTTAATTATTTAAAAAAATTTCAACCCTCTAACAGGTTTGCGATTTCTTACAGAAGTTGCACAGGACCAAAGAAAAGAATGAAACAACATCCGTAGAATCTGACATTACTACTACTGTTGGTGATTGTAGTAGTGAAGAAATACAGCAACAACCAACTACAACAACAACACAACAACATCAACGTACAGAAATAACGAGACCAGCCTTAGAAAGCAGTCTGATGTCTTGCCAGTTTGACATCTGTCTAGACAAGGGCACATATGATGCCGTGTGTCTCAACCCCGTCGACAGAGCCAATCAGAAAGTGAGGTACCAACAAAATGTAGGTCATGTTTGTAAATGTGGTGGACTGTTTCTCTTGACCTCCTGTAACTGGACTAGGGAGGAACTCGTTGACCAATTTAACTCACGTAAGTTGGGTTATTTTTTATGTTTAGTTAGATGAAGGTTTTAATTTTTACTTTTTATTGATTATTTTCTTTACTTTCTTTATTTACAGAGTTTGAAGTCATACACCAAATACCAACTCCGACGTTTCAGTTTGGTGGTAAAGTTGGCAATAGGGAGACGGTTCTTGTGTTTCGGAAGAGATCACTGACTAATTCATGAATATTCAACTTTATCCTACTTTGATGTTAATTATTTCGTTGATGTTTTTTTTTTTGGTATGATGACTAAAAAATTTTTTCATACAATTTATTTGTAGCGTGCTTCATTCGTTCAAAATATTCCGACCATTTTGTTTTTACTCGCTGTTATTTCTGTTATTATTGGAGTTGGTGTTGTTTTTATACGGTTAGCGCCATCGCCATTAGAGAATATTCGTTAGTTAAACCGTCGGCGGACGTGTCGTGTTACACGCAATGCGATCACTTTCAATTAGTGACCAACCGACTGCTAATAAGCTCGTTAACTGACCACAATCGTCCGGGGAATTGTTTTTTCTTTTCTTCTCGCGTGTCTGTTGGCTATTTAGTCGTCTGCTGATGCGTGCGTGCTTCCTTCGAATGTGTGGCACTATGCTGATAATCATGTACTTCATTGTCCCATGCAATTGTCGCCCGCCTGTTCTCTTCTTCGTGTTCTCGTTGCGGTTTTTGTACGCCGCTGTGTACGTCTGCGTACGAACGTGAACGCGAGTACGTGCGTGTTTACGTGCGTTTGTAACTTCACAGTATGTGAGGTACGTTTTAATCTGTACAATGGAAGAATTTTACTTTTTTCGATCTATGTGTTCAGCCCATCAAACACGTCTGTGCTTGCACACCTACACATCCGCGCCTACATAAACACACATATATATATATATGTATTCTATTCAACAGATAAGCCGGCATCTAACACAAAAACATTTCTTTTTTCTGCGTCACATTCTTTTTTTGGGGCGATGACGTGTAAAGAGATAATACAATCGTCATTTAACCGCCCATCTACTTGGCCGTGTGTGGTGAAGTTACACAAACGCACGCACACAAACGCACGCACACACAAACACGCCATACAGTGATGGTAGACGACATTTGAATGCTTTTTAATGTGGAAACATTGTTTGCAAACGTGAATATGTGAAAGCTGGAAAGTTCAATTGTAACTAGCACAATGAAGACTGCTCGTCAAAGGATAACAATGTCACTGGTTGGAAGGGAGATACGCTTAAATAAGCAGCGACATCCTGAGTGACGTCATCATCTGGTCATTGTTATCATCATCATCATCATCATCTGGTCATCCACTTTTATCATTACCACCACCATCACGATTATCACTATCGTTTGGCTACCCTCATCACTATAGCTATAGACGTCATTATTATCAACTACAACAACATCACCATCAAAAGCAACAGTTTCATCGTCATCTTCATCACCAACAACAATATCATCATCGTCATCATCATCATCGTCATCATTAGTGTCGTTCCAATGAATGCAAAGAGGACACAACACGTGATCATAACAACTGCCGTAGTTGGCGATGAAAGTTGGATGGAAATGAATAAATAAATGAATAGATAAATGAATGAATGTGTGTGTGCGCGCGCGTGTGTGTGTATGTGTTTCAAATGCGTTGTTGTTGATGTACGAGAAACAGGGTTGTGGTAATAACAGTGGTTAAGTACTCGTTGATGCGATCTTTGTGTGATGCATCAGTCAGGAGATTTTCAATTAAAGAAGAGTTATATGTATAGAGAGAAAGAGAGAGAGAGAGAGAGAGAGAGAGAGAGAGAGAGAGAGAGAGAGAGAGAGAGAAAGAAGTAGCCAAACAGAGAGAAAGAGAGAAAAATATCCGATGATAGCTGAAACGGAACTTGTAAAGATTGAGATAACAATTGAATGATATTTATGTAAATGGGTCACGTGATTTGTTTGATATCTAGGTCATTTCATCAGGATTTCACACGCCGCATCAACGCAAGGTCATTATGAAGGTCAACATTACTCTTAACCCTACTTCACTTACGTTCCTCTGATCGCTTTTATATTTTATTTTCTTCATAGGGTCTTTTCTTCCACTCTCTCTCCTCTCTCTCTCTCTCTCTCTCTCTCTTTATTTCTTTTTCTCTTTTTCTCAGTGAGTTAAATAAATGAAAGAATATAATAATAGATAGACAAAGAATAATGAAATTAATGAATGAAAAAGAAATAAACAAACGTCAGCTCAGCTACTGGACAACCAAACGAAAGAACAGTAAATGAACAGTCAGCAGTGAAGGAACAATAAAACTAATAGAATAGTAAATAAGTAAAATGTAAACATAGATAATGGAAGGCAAAACAAAGAAAAAGAAGGTGAAAGAGAGAGAGAGAGAGAGAGAGAACGAAAGAGAAAGAGAGAGAGGGAGAGAACGGACGAACGAGCAAACTTGAGAAAACGTTTATCAGAGGAGCAGGCTTGATTAGTTTTCGACGAGTCACATCCGTGATCAAGGCCGGCATCTAATCTACAGTTGTGTTTGCGTGTCCGTGTGTGTGTGTGCGCGCGCGCGTGTGTGTGTACGTGCGTATATGCGTATGTGTTGTAGGCACAGAAATATGCATATATGCGTAAAGATTGCGTGATGTTTGCAAGCGAATGTGAGGCGTGCGTGCTTACATTTTTTGATATGCTACGATGTACTTGTGCAAGTGTGTGTTAGTGTGTGTTAGTGTGCGTGTGCGTGTGTGTGTGTGTGCATCATAAATTGTAGTTGTTAAAATTATTCCTTGTGAAAATTCTCAACAGAAAAAGTTTGTCTTCAAACGTCATGAGAAAGGCATCAACAAAAACATTGAAATCCTCAACAGCAATATTAACCAGGTAAAAAAAAACAAATTTATTTTAGAATAAAATATATTTTTAAACAAAAAAAAGCTTTTTATTTTCACTCCTCCTCTTATCTGTCAAGAAAATCTAGTTAACCTAGCATTCTAAAATAGCATAATGTAACGTAACACGTAACGAATAAAGCGCTATATCAGTTGAGACAAGTGTGATCAGATTTCCGGTTGCGCGGACTCCATCAAAATGAATCGATATCGAATTTTTCTCGCCCATCACTAATTCTCACGTGACCTGTACCGCACATTCGCATTATCGAGTTTTATCGACAAATATCTTGTAATCTCGTCTGTGCGTCTGCAGCTTGTGGTTTGCACTCTCGCGTTTGTTTACATTGACGTTGCAATGAATTTTTGTATCTTTGGTAATAAAGATAATGAATCATTGATGTTTACGTAGTTCCGTTAGCTACGTTACTGAAAATATATACAATTTCGTGACGAGTGTGTCTTTGAGTTGCAGATATAATTTTGTATGCACACATTTGTTTGCACCAAACGAATAGGTAACTGCTGTACGTGATGCGATGATGTCGCGATGACGTCATAATGAATAAACAAACATTGATATTAAAATTTGAGGTAAGCCTTTTTAAATAATAACAAAATCTGCTAATGGAGCATTTTTATGGGAAGCCACGCAACTGAGATTTTTATTATTCGTCTTTGATTAGTTTTCTGCGTTTGCCGTCGCCTAAGTCAAACACCTTATTTCGCTCATAATTCTCTCATTAAATGTCCATTTTGTTCATTGTTCATTTGTATTTATTTATTATTTTAATTAATTCTCGATATTTGTCACTATCCAGCCAAAAGAGTTATTGCAATAGACGCGAAATAGTTTGAAAATTGATAAAAATTTCATTGCGAATTTAATTATTCCAAAATCATAATATATAATATATTTATAATAATTATGACGTCAATATTATCGTCATCACTTTCATTCATTGTATTTACCATCGTCATCATCATCATCAAGTAACTTTGAAACGAATAAACGAACGAACGAACAAACAAACTAGCGAACTAACAAACCAACGAGCGATTTAAGAACCGACGGATATGAATAGCGATGGACCGACCGGACAATTAGCACCGGCGTTAAAACGAATACTTACCGACCGATTCGATTATTTAGCGGTCACACTCGAGTAAATAATGAATGTTGTAACAGCAATTAACCGTTCCGGGTCGACAACAGTTTTTAAATATTTATAGCTATTTATTATTTCTTTACTTAAACGCACATCAACTCTCTCTCTCTCTCTCTTTCTCTCTCTTTCTCTCTCATCCATTTTAATCATTTTAATCTTTTTTTTTTCTTTTATGTTTTTCCGTCTTTTACTCTTTTGTTTGATAATGTCTCTTTCTCTCTCTCTCTCCTCTCTCTCTATTTTTCTCTCTCTCTCTCTGTTTCTCTCTCTCTTTCTTTTCTTTTTTCCTAATTCTTTTTTGAAATTTAAATTTAGGTTTATCGAGTTAGCATCAGCATTCTTATGAAAAGCAGTAGAACTAGTAACAGCAGCGGTTGTAGTAGTAGCACTACCACAACCACCCCTACCACCACTGCCACTACTTGTGGTGGTGGAAGTAGTAGTAGTAGTAGTAGTGGTGGTGGTGGTAGGAGTTGTTGTATAAGGGAAAAAAAGATGGCCGGTCAGTCAATGATGTGAGAATTGATTTTCGCAGGACGCCATATTTGTTAGAGAAGCGCGCACAGTCGTGGCGATGAATTAATTAGTCGCCTGTGTTCTGTCCATTGTATCCGATGATGATGATGATGATGGTGGTGATGATGATAGTGGTGATGGTGGTGATGATGATGATGTTGTTGGTGGTGATGATGATGATGGCCGTGATGCTGATGGTAACGATGATGATGATGATTGTAAGATAACGGTTAGTACGAAGACAATGACCTATTAAATAATGATGATGAAGATGATGACGACGACGATGATGAAGATGATGATAACGATGATGAAGAAGATGATGACGACGATGATGATAAAAACCATTGAAATGATATTGACAGTGATGATGGCCATTGTTACGCAACAATCATTTGACGAGCGTGCTCTGTGTTCGAAATAGCTTAAATGTTATGAGACGCTAGATTTGAATACAGTTTTGTTATTGTTAGTGTTGTTGTTGTTGTTGATGTTGTTGTTGTGGTTGTTGCTGCTGTTGTTGTGGTTGTTGCTGTTTTTATTGTTTTAATATGGTTTAATCGTATAGTTTTGTTTATTTACTTGCTTCTATTGCTAACATGAAAATAGTTAGAGTTGTTGTTGAGGTGTTTGATGTTGTCATTGAAGACGATGTTAATGTTTTTGTTTTTGTTGTTGCTGTTGTTGTTGTTGTTGTTATTGATGACGGTGACGTCATAGTTGATAATGCGTTGGATGGTGTATACATTGATTTTCGTTGGTGAAGCCATTAATGTTCGTGAAGATGACATTAATTTATCAGGTAATAAATGTATTGGAGTTTTAACTTAAGTAAGCACCTAAGTTAAATTAATGAATGTGATTGAGTGTGTGTGTGTGTGCGTATGTGCGTGTGTGTGTGCGTGTGTGTGTGCT